TATCAACTGTTAGGTCCCCTCCCTTTCGGGATGTGACACAACAGAGCTGGGTGATGATTCAATATTATCATTAAATATTCAACATTCTCTGGTATTTTAATGGGATTTTACAAATTTCTAAAGACATCTGAAAATATTTTTAGTAATATCATGACAGTAATTGAAGCCAATTTCAACATAAATACATACACAACGGTAATAAGTACACAGACTGGTTTAATTAGAATAGTATGCTATAATTCAATTTGGATGCGATTTTGAAACATCGTATGAGGAAAAACATTTCGTAGCAGCACTCATTTCAAACACAGAGAAAAAAACATTCCATTCTGTGAGGCATGGAAAACATCTGTACAGCCGTTACATGTACAAATGAACATGAACACAGTCATCCACCATTTACTACAGGCTTGGCAGCCCCCAGACGACTGTCTCCCGTCCCTAAGACCAAATATTTGCAGACCTATTTCATTTTTATCTCCGTTTTCATCTTTCATTCTGTATGTTTATATCTGAAGTTATGCAGACGTGCATGTGCCAGTGCGTGCATGTACTTTGTAAGAGCTGCCTGTTGAGACGGTGAATTAAACAGCAAGTGCATTTGATCTGCAAAGCACTCCAGGGCAAATACACAAAATGAGACACACACACACACACACACACACACACACACACACACACAGGCGCTTGCATACAGCATCAAAATCATTTCCGTCACAGAATCTATTCTTAGGAGCAGCAACAAACCATTCTTTCCCTGATATAAATCTCTTTTATTCATACTCACAGTCACGCACACGCACACACACACACACACACACACAAAGCTCAAAGCTACACTCCCTGGTGGTCATAATGCATTCACATAATGTTCTTTGTTTTTGTATTTTCTAGAACAGGATTTGTTCCAGGTAAGTCACAGCATGAAGACCTTTTGGGGCTTATTTAACTCACAAAAACGCATGTACACAAGCAGCATCTTTCATCTGGTGATGGTGGGTGTTTATACAGGTGTGTCCAGGTCAGCGGCGTTCTGAGGACATCAACGATTCCTTCCTATCTCCTGCATGTGCGCACATGCACACGCACACGCACATGCACGCACACACGCATACAATCTGATCTGTGAGAAGCTAAATCAACACAGCTGCAACAACTCAGCCCTCATCGTCCTCCTCCCTTCACTCAGCCGTCTCCACTCCATCTTTAATCAGGCTTCTTCTCACTTTCTCTGTTCTGCTTTTTTTTGCCCCTTTGCTCTCTCTGTCCTCCCAGACTCCTCCTCTCCTTTCTTCTCTCTTCCACTTTTATTCAATCTTGCATTAGTCACTGTTAAATTTATATACCAGCTAGGTCTTTGTAGCTTTTGCCAATTCACAAGGCCTCAGATCTCACCCCTCCACTCTCCTCACACGATTATGCCCTCTTTGCCCTGCCTCCATACTAGCTCTCTCGTTCAATCCCTCTCTCCCTGCACTTCTCTGCCCTCCCAGCAGTTGGCCGAGCATGTGCTACCCCGGGGGAGACGTGCCTCATCCGCCCAACAAGGCACTGCAACCCCCAAGTTACCTCCAGCACTTTCAGCACGGGACAGGTAGAGTAAACGCCCAGGGGCCTCCAGGGGAAGCAGGAGCATCCACTTCTCCCTGTCTGTCAGCCTGAATGTGTGTGTATACATACATACCATCATACATACCAACATACCTACCTACCTACCTACCTACCTACGTGTGTGTGTGTGTGTGTGTGTGTGTGTGTGTGTGTGTGTGTGTGTGTGTGTGTGTGTGTGTGTGTGTGTGTGTGTGTGTGTGTGTGTGTGTGTGTGTGCGGCAGACACAAAACTGAATGACCAAATATAACCTCTGCACTCTGCTTTCACCTTGCTCAACATGACAATACTCTGCTACTGAACAGATTCACCAGTCCGGTACTTTTAAAGCACCCTGTCTTGTTTAATGTTTTCATTACTTCAACATGAAGGTTACCCCCCCCTTAGGACATTTTTGTTGAAATTGATGTTGTCAAGCAACCCAGCTCACCATTGTTTGACACAGCATTTTTGGTATGTAACACAGCATGTCAGAACACTTACTTTCATTTTCATCTGCATTTCATTAACATCTTATAAGATGCTAATGAAATGCAGATGAAAATAAGGAAATGCCTGTTTCAAAAGTAAACAGTGGATTAGTGGTTGTTGCCTGAAGGCGCCGCCACCCAAAACAAACTCTATAAAAGTAGCCAAGCTGAGAGAAGACAGTAGATTAGAGCAGACATCATATCATTTCCAAAAAACAAACACTTTGTTCCCTTCCACCGAAAAGTACCTAATTTACCTACCTACCTAAAAGTACCGAACCTTTTTCAACCTTCACAAACCACCACAGTAAGACACCACATTTGTCACAAACTAGCTTAGACAGTGTGAAATTTAAAACTCTACACAAGAAATTAAAAAATATATATATATCACCAGACACTTGTTATCTTCCCTTATGATGTACTGTCAGGCCAGTACTGTACCCATCTTCATGTCTTGTTTTTGTTAGGGGCTTTTCTACTTCAGTCTAGTCTTCAGCAAATGAAATACATGCTTGAACTGAGGTCAGATGATTGACTTGGCCAGTGAAGAACATTCTATTTGGCCATAAAACTCTTTAATTACCTTGTCTGCGTGCTTAGGATCAGTGTCCTAAAACTGCAGGACTACATACTATACTAAGAGCTATGATTCAAATTCAAATGTGCAGGAGTACAGAACCAAAATAATGAAATACATATCACTGTCAGTTTAAAAAAAAGCCAAAAATGTGTGTAAGACACACACAGCTGGAGATTTGATGATTCATCACAGGCAAGTAAGAGAAAAGGCCAGTTGCTTTAAAGCCAATCGAAATATGCAGAAACCTACTTTCATAATTGAGGTCAGAGGTAGACATTTGCTTTAATCCCTGTGAAGTCCCAGGTCACCGCATTCATCACCAAGACATCCATGCAACAGTCTTCACCATTCATCACTCACTCTGGGATTTATTAGTCAGGTCTGGAGCCAGAGGGTGAGAGGTTAAACGAGGAGCATTGTGTTAGCAGTTATCAGCATAGAGAGCCCCACACACAGTTATTCAACACTGCGGCTGTAACTGCCAGAGCTGGAATTTAAATACACAACTGTGTACAAACATGCATGTGTGAAACAGTACATGCAACAATCTGATAACACTCAAGTTCATTTACACTTTCACACACAAACATCTTGCAGAAACCCGATTGGTCCGCAACCCAGCAAAGCACTCTACGGGTGTCTAAACACACATACAACATACTTCTTTAGCACGCTGTATGACCAAAGAACACACTCATTCTTTGTCTAATAACACACACACACACACACACACATACTGGTATAAACAGGGCCACTACCAGCTAGCAGGAGTGCCCAGGGGCACAGCACCATGTCTCATCACTGTAAGCTAATGTTGAACACAGTGGTAGTGCTTGGCGTAGCTGCTGTCACTTTGGCTTCAGATCCAGGTTATTTGCTAGGAGCTCAAATAGGCAAGGTTCTGTGTTAGGGGGTCACCGCTTTCACATGAGGTGCGTACATTTTTTTTTTGTGACAAACACAGACAAAAGTGCAAGTGTTGCGCAAGCTGTTATTACCCGCTGCAGCTTAAAAGCCTTTCTGCTGTGCTCGAGTCTTTTACATTCAGCTAGAAAACCAAAGGAGTGTGTCTGTCCGTGTGCGAGTGCGTGTCTGTGTGTGTAAGTGCTCTCTATCTTGCCAGCCTCAAATCCAAAGCAATTAGAGAGGCCAGATGGTGGGCTGGACTCGCAGTAAATAGCTGTGCATTGACAGAAGAAGCCTGCAACAAAAATGAACTGTGACAAGGAGCCTGGATGACACACAGATACATGCCGACATCAAAGCACCAGGCAAATATTGAGGACACGCTGCCATAACTGCCATAAACCAACTGTCACCATCGTGGGGATGCTAACAGCAGAACTTGATTGTATCGTTTGATGGGGACACAGAGGGGGTACTTGTATGTAAACCAAATAAGGCAGGTGCACATACACGCATCAACACACACATTCCCTTCCATTCAAGAACATTCATACGTAAAACGTGCACACACACACAGACAACCCTCTACATACCCTTCTGTTAAAATCTAACCAAACCAGTTTGGTTTAGTCAGAGTTCAAACAATGCAGCCTTTGAGAGGCACTCCATTCACAGAGTTTCAGCTTGGCCTGCACATTCCCCAACTGAAAACACAAACTGCCTCCCTCCAGGAAACCACTGAAGCTACAGCATAGCATTCCTCTCACCTCTATCCTTTTCTCTGTGTGAACAATATTCGCCTGAGAGGCATTGAGGCCCCACTGAATATAATGATTATATAATGATTTTATTATATATATATATATATATATATATATATATAAAAAAGGGGGGGGGGGGGGGAGAAAGAAAGAAAGAAAGAAAGAAAGCTTTGTATCATCACTCTTCATTATCCGCATTCTCAGGTGAAAAACCGGATAAAAAATGTGCCCTTTAAAAGAACTACAGCAATCTCCTACATACCTGTTACCAAGGCAGCAAGTTTACATCAGCCAACCAGGACACATATACAAATCAGAGAGACTGGGAGGAGGTGGAGCATGAGTACAGGACAATTGCAATCCACAAAATGGCTTCTCCTATTCCTGTGCTCAGTTTCCCATAAGCCTGTTATCACACCTCTGTTGACTGACAGACACACACACACACACACACACACACACCAACAAACATGGAGTAGTGTGTCTGGAGCATGAACGATGGGTGACAAGAGACAGAGAGGCCACTTCATATCCAGATCAATTAATCTATAAATCTAATCAGTGAGAATCAATGACTGGCACTTCTATTCAATCTGGCTCCTCAGTCATCCAAGTGTTAAAGAGACAGAGGGAAGAAAAGGAGAAACAGATACCACATGTAGCAACACCGGAACATTTCAAAAATCAAGGAATCTTTAATAGCAACCAAATACAAAAAAAATTTAGAAAGACACAACAAAATGGTGACAACAATTTGAAATCTGCTTTTTTTTCAAAGACTAAAACAAATTTGAAATTAAAAATACAAAAAAGAAAATAAAAACCCAACAACTTTTACACAGAGCAGTCAATAATAAAAAGCACATTTTAGGATAAGACTGTTTTGTCTGTTTTGTTGTGTGTACAGTTCATTTGTATAGAAGAAGCACATTTGCCAGTTTTGGCAGCAATCACAGCTCAGCAGTCAAGAATAAAGCACTCAGAAAACATAAATTATAAAGCACTGCAAAATAACAGAAAAGAGGAGAAACTGTAATAGGAGAAAATAAATCCTTCATGCTTGCTGTCACTGAGAAATACACAAACGTGACACCATAAATTAGTAATTCTTTTACTCTGCTACATATTTATATATTTATACTATGTACACAGGAAGGTTTTCTCTTTTTTGTGTGTGTGTGAGTGAGATGGGAGATGTTAAGGCTTTGATTAGTCATCAGATGTTTGGAGCCAAAGAAATAGCAACAGTATGTGGCTTCCTAGAAAAGAAAAGTATTGGGTATTTTGACTATCCAACCTTGTGCTAGACCCCGGGCCAGGATCATGGATTTCTCTAAAAGCATTTTGTCTGACAAGCCTTACTTGGGTGCCTCAGTGGGTGGCAACGGTGTGCCAGTGTCTGTGGAGGCGGTCGTGGTGGCGGAGGTGAGAGAAGTCAAAAACAACATTTTGGAGAGGAGTAGGAAGTTGCCACTCTCTAAAAGCATTCAAAGAGATCCGTGAGGGGGAGGAGGTCAGAGCAGTGGCATTTTTATGAAAGCTATATTTCCTATGTAGAACAAAAGGCGCAACGGACAAACAGTTTCCTAAAAAGACTGTTTCTCTGACACTGGGTGAAAGGCGTGTCCCTGAATGTGCAGTCTTCTCTGCTCTACATGGTCACTGATTCGGGAACGGGTGGGACTATTTGGGGAGCAGAAAGTAGTGGAGCAGGGGACACATCGCGCTGTGGCTCTTTCCACAGTAACAGGACATGGTATATGTCCTGACAGAGCCACTGAGCAAGAAGAGGAGAAAGAAGAAGTGTCTTCGTGTGAGTTTGTGTGCAGCTATGCAAGCACATTTTTGTGTGGGCTTATGTCAGGAGATGGCAGGGTTGTCAGGTATGAGGTGTCTTCTGCACAGTTTGGCTGTGGGAGTGAGCATAATGAGAGTGACTGAGGGGTGTTTGTGTGTGGGCGAATGTTTCTCTGCATTCTGCGTATGTATATGTATAGTATGTGTGCACGAGTGAGTGTCTTCGAAATGCACAATAATATCTTCAGTTTGCCAGTGTTCTATGGTGACAAAGGGGTAGATACTCAGGTTACAGCCCCAATGGCAGTGAGAGATGTCCCAAAGCGTCCGAGCATCATGGAAATATGCACTGACACACACCTACACACCTACACACACACACACACAGCGCTGACTCAGACACAACACAGACCGTCGCTTGTGTGGTTACGGTCTACCTGATAAATTATGAGTATTTTTGCATTCTGCAGGGTGCCTGTCAAGGAGAGGGAGAAGCCAATTGTGCAAAAAAAAAAGAAATAGTGTGTGCTTATTATGTGGCAATGTAAGGAATGCTAACTTGAACAAAAAAACATTATACAAGATTATATAATTTTTCCTCATCCCCAATACAACTCTTAGGCTTTAAGTAAACTCTGCTCAGACAGTTCAGTATACCCAAACCACCAAGGTATTCATTAGATTAAAAATTACATTCTGAATGCCCTCTGAGACATTTGAACTTCAGGCTTAGACGACCTTCCTCTTTATTTCCACAACACTGGCAACACTGGCTCCATCGATCTGATATTTACATTTTGATAAATATCCACATTTTCACAAGAAAAATAAAGATGCTTACATATATATATATATATAGTACACAGATACCTCACACCAAAATGTACATACAACATTTTTGTCCCGTATCTCCATTTTTACCCCAAGAAGTATTTCACTCACTTCTTTTTGTCGCTGTGACACACACGAGTGCAAAAGTAAGTAATACATTTTTATTTTGAGTGGTTGTGACAAATCAGCTGTGTTCAGCAAATTTACTGTACCCCAGGTTGACAGGTGTTCCATTCATGTATAAGCTAAGGCCATTACACGATAATCCTATTGAACACACTGGCTTACAATATGCTAGACAGTGCTCAAACACTAAACGCTGTCTGTTTTTGTCATCTGCCTCCTGTGTCTCTCTCCGCCTCTCTGAAGGTTAACAGCCATCACAATGGCAAACAAGGACTGTCTGACCTGATACAGATACTTCTACTATATGCAACGGTTTCTCAGCTCTACAGTTCAAGGTTAAAAGCAGCTATGATAAGAAATGGGGCAAGCGAAATAATCCGTGCCCATGGCAATGGGTCACCCAGCATTTGACCTCATGACCTGCAGCAAACTGCAACCCAGATCTTAGCTGAGCCCTACAAGAGGTCAGTACAGTCATAGAGAGCCGCATTCACCAGATTTCTCAGTGGGTCAGAGGGAAATTGGTTAGAAGATCAGGAAAAGCATGATTAGAGGAGCTACAGTGAGGCCTCTCTCCAAGATTGTCCATCACAGTCATCCAGTGGCTACATAGATATAGTGACGCATGAAAATGTACGCACTGAGCCACAAAGAAAGCAGTGTACAATAGCCACGAGTGGCTCGTTAGAAGGATAAAATAACAGTCAGGAGACAATCAGCCCTGAAGCTGCATCATAAAAAGGGCCAGTTCACCGCTTGTTGCCTGTTAGTCAATATGACTCCCATAGCTTTGCTGTGGACACAACCTTGTGTCTCCTGATCTGTTCACTATATTAAAAAACATCTGCTAATTGAAACAAATATTAGATGATCTCATTGAAAACCTATTTAACCATAATGTGGTCATAGGCTACTTTGGACGCGAGGTACTAAGTATGGGAGGAGGCAGTAGCGTCCATGCAGTGGAGTGAACATGGCCACTCTAGGTGGATTAGTCAGTCCTGGCATGTCAGGGCAGGCTGGGGCTGGAATAGAGTAAGTGGGGCGTTTGACACATCAGGAGCAGTAAAATACTCCCCTGCTCTCTGTGGCCGTGACCTCGACACTGCCCCGGATAAATCATACACTCCCCATAAATGCTGGGGGCGAGGGATGAAGAAAGAGAGAGAGAGAGAGAGAGAGATGGAGGGATGATAGAGAGATAGAGGTGGGAGCGGGAGGAATCACCACGTCATAAACGATAAGTGGTGGCAATCTGTTTGTCCCAGCTAAGCGAGCGACTTCACGGCTCATTACCAATCAAGCTCCTCCTGTCAGGAGGACTCTGAAGAGACGGGGATGAGGAAGAATAGAAAAGAACAGACTTCCTCCTCTCTAGTCCTCCTGCCTCCCACATCTCCCCCTCTCCATCCCTTGACCCTGTCAGATCGGCTACACCTCATTCCCTCATCTCTTGTTTACTGTCTCTTACCTCCAGGCACAGTACAAAAGTTTGTATGGGAATACCTTGTTAAGAACTTAGTTCAAACTCTCTGCAAACTTTCTTTGTTAAATACAGCTGCTCTTGTATTTGTGCCGCATATAAAAGGACCTTATGTTCTTTTTTAGATTTTAAATTCAAGACTGTCTACTTTTGCTGATAGTTTGCAGTGATTTTTTTTTAAGTTTGAAAGGAAGGCAGAGAGCGGAAATGAAAACTCGCCAGTAAGACGTGAGTGTATACGTTGCTCTTTTTTCTGAATTACCTGATGGTTACTGCCTATACCTTCAAATGTTTTCGTTCCCAACTCATCACTAGCTGCTAACTACCCACAAGCTGTCACAGCACAACATGTTATCAAAACAAAAGGTTTCCCACAGGAGGACTGACAATAGTAGGCAACACGTAACTGCTTGACAACCTCTTACACTTCTACTGTTTTGGTAAAGATAAGAGTGAATATGCAAGTGAGTTGCCTTCTCTATAGCCAAGCTTGTATCATGATTCCATTATCCCATTCCCACATTACATAGTTTCTCTCTTTTAGTCTGTCTGTCAAGAGTCCTTGTCAAGGTCTCAGTGATAGCGATAGCATGAGCAGAAGCGGTGGCAGCCAGGTTGTTTCTTTTCTCCGTTTGATTTTCAGTTCTGTTGGGACCAGATAACAACACTCCTATCTGAACATCCCACCACACCCTCCTCCTGTTCATTCAGCCCATTCAGCCCATTCTCGGGCTGCACTGTGATTAATAATTGGCTATATTTAAAATCAATTTTCAAAAAATAAAAGTGGTATTATTTTTTCTTCTCTATCAGACAGGGATGACACCCTGGAGCCACAAAATCCTAGGGAGGAATCCTCCATCCCTCCTTTTTATCCTCCTCCTTTCCCCCTCCTCCTCCTCCTCCTCCTCCTCCTCCTCTATACGTAGACAGCAGTCCGTGAGATGACAGAACCATCCCGCTGGGACTCCATGTCATCATCCAGGTAATCTCCAATAATATCATCCTGGTCATGCGGTGGACGAAGCTGAAGGATGGGGGCCCCTCCAGTGAAGTGGTCATACCTCTCCTCCTCCTCCTCCAGCTCATCAAACTTCCTCCTTTCTGCATCATCTAATTCATTGCTTAGCAGGATATCTTGGGCAGTGGGCGTAGTGGCAACAACTTCAGGCCGACCCCCCATGGTGAGCGGCTGGTGGTGGTTGTTTTTCTCACCAAGGCCCTGGTGGGATGTGCTCTCGTTGTAAAGTAACATGGGGCCGTTGTTGTTACCACCTCCAACGCCACCACTGCCTGCGCCTCCACCTGTGCCGTTCTTGCTGGCCTTCTTGCCGCCGCCAAATATGCGTGTCTTCATGTCACTGCCGCCATTGGCACGGTAACCCTGCTGTTGCCTGCGGCTACGGGTGACAAGAACAGCGATGAGAGCGGCGACCAAAAGGAGGGCCAGCAGGGAGCCAATCACGGCTCCCGCCACAACGCCGGCATTGGATGGGTTCACTGAGGGCTCTGTAGGAGGGAAGAGAGGCAGGGAGGGAGAAAAGGGAAGAAAGGAATATGGTTGAGAAAGGGAAAAAAAGACAGCCGTGTACAACATGGAGAGAGGGCAAGAGGGAAAATAGAGACAGCATAAAAAGGAGTAGGAAGAAAGAATATTGTCAAGGAAAATTGAGAAAAAGGGAGAGGGGAACACAGAAAGAAGGAGTTGGATGATGTCCATGTTGCTGGTCTGAACTGTATTCAGTGAAGTGTGTAAGAGTGCTGAGGTGTCAGTACAGTCAAGTGTGTGTCTGTGTGTGTCAGCGTGTGCTGAGCCTCTTTCTACATTGACATTTCCTCCTCTCCCTCAGAGCTGCTCCCATTCCCACAACAATGTCTCAGCCACATATCCCTGTGTAGCCATTGAATGGCCAGGATCTGTCCAAGGCTTTACAACAAATCACAAGGCAAGGGGGGTAGGGGATAAAAAGTATGACACACACACACACACACACACACTTTCTGAAGGAATGGGGAATGGCATGTGCAGGGCAGAACAGGTGGAGGCCATGCAGAGGAGGAGGATAATGATGGATGGATGAGTGGAAGATGGAAATTAGAAGGAGGAGGTGGTGGCGGAGTGAGTGAGTGACAAAGTGACACAGCGGAATGACAAGTCCTCCTGGAAGCCATGAACTTAGAGCATCGGAACAGAGCACCCCTCTCGGCTCCAGTAAACCACAGGCACTGTTTTAGTGCATACCGGTCATATACGAGTGTCCTTTTTTAATCTAGCAATACTGGTTTAGTCACGACTGCCATGTGACACACTCATTAAAAGAAGCCTTTTTAAGTTAATTTTAAATTAAAGTACAGTGCACACAGGCTAAGGAGGGTATAAATAAAACTAGGGATACACTATCCAATACACAGTATTTCGGTTTGTGTATAAAAACTCCCGAGGAGTAGTGGGGTCTAAATCAGGGTTGTGAAGACTGTAAATATAACTTGTCAGCCATATATCAACATCTCTTAAGATTAAGTCTGGCTATTGTTTGAAATGTTTCCATTTACGGTGGCAAAATCACTTTCAGTTTTCATAACTTTCAATACCAATACCACTGATACCAAAAGCAATACTTTTCTTGATTCCTTACTTTGAAGAATATAAACATGTTTTACAAAAGAACATTTTCTTCTTTTTCTTAAAATTTGCCTATTTAAATGCTTAAGTTAAGTTTTCAGCCATACAGAACTTTGCCTAAATAAAATAAAGTCGGAAATCAGAAAAATTCTAATTTAGATATGGAAATATCGGATACAAATTATGGAAACCACACAAAAAATCTGACCAAGCATTCAATGCCAGTTTCAGGACCTGGTACCATGGACACATTTTTGTCAGTAGTCAAAAAGTATTGAGGTTTGATAACAGGCCTAGTTAAGACACTACAGGCGAGTAAAGCCCCACAGTGCAAGTTTCCGGGGCCATGGGTTCAGGGCTCTAAGTGCTTTCTGGGAGTGTGACAACTCCCCACAAACCATGTGACTGTTTTCCCCATGTGGTCATCATCTATAACTCAGTGGGCAGAGAGTATGGCACTAACACTGCTGAATTTCAGGGTCAATGCTATCTACAATGGTGTTTACATTTACTGTACTTTGAAGCACTTTGAATAAAAATGTTTTCCAAGTGACACTGGTTAAGGAAAAATGTACAAGGTTACAAGTATAAATCACATTTATAGGAAGGAAGAGCATTTCAGTGGTGAATCTACAGCTTAGACTTTATTCCACAAGCTGTTTTTATAACAACGTGCCTTCTTTAGACCTTAAATGAGCAAGCCTACTTTTAGTAGAGAAAATTGATGCCTGAATGTATATTATTCCCACCTTTACAGGGTTCAAAGCATTTCAGTTTGGGGCTTATCATATATTTAGTATGAAAACATTTTTATTCTGATTTAATGTATTTGTTTATTCTGTTTAAATAATTTTGTACATTTGATGTCCCAGAAGTAATAAAACAAAATGCTTTCATGTTACTCTTTTAATCCCTGAAGGTGGCAGATTGTTGCAGAAACATCATTTTATGGAACAAAGTCCTTTTATTATCCAGCATACTAACGTTTTCCAGCTTCCTTCAGGTTTAAGGGCATGAGCTACACAATAAAACCAAATAAGTCGTGTTGAGAAAATTAATTTTAAATTTTAGTCCCTGGTTGAAACTGATCAAGAACCCTTAGCTAAGCTGCACATCCTTTCTGTTGCTCTCCTTTCCACTCGCTGCGCTTTCACCAGCCGCTGCAGAGGATTAACCAGCAGACGCTGCTGTTGAAATCCCTGCCTAAATTTGAAAGTAGCGAATCAGCCCAATTCGTATTGTCATTTCCATTTGAAATCCAAAAGAAGTCGGGGGCCTCTTGTTAACTGTACAGAGAGCTGACAGAATTACTCTTGTAACACTGATTCTTGTCAAGAGAGAAAATGGTCGTCTACTGCTGTCTACACCTGTGCTCCGCTCTTCTCTTCCTCTCCTCCACTTTTCTCCGTCTCTGCCTCCACTTCACCAGCTGTCTCCTTCATACACTCTTTTAGTCTGCTCTAAATCCATTTCCATGCCAGCTCTTCATTTTACGTTTGCATTTCTGTCATACATTACTTTTCTCTGTGCTCTCCTCCTCCATGCTTCACTTTCAACACATGCCTAGGGGAAAATATTAATGATTTCATGTAGGTATATTTTCTCTTCCTTTCTTTCAATTTCTTTCAACACTGTCCCTCTCCCCTCCTATTCTCCCTCGAGCTGTGCTAAACATTGCTGTTCACACACATGAGAGTGAGAGCTAGCCCTCCATGTCCACTTGTAACAGGAACACAAGAAATGCATTATCACCTCGGGCTCAGAGGAGCTCTGGCACACGCATCGTGGCATCAATCTCTGTGCAAACTTGGGGCCGGATGCTGCCACACATTGCAGTCACATCAAAAGGGAATTACAGTAAAATTTTATGCAAATTCTCCCTAAATTCCACTCATCCAATTATTTTTAATGCGTTGCTCAAGCCAGTTCTTAAGTATCTCTCTCAAAGTCTATGCTGGTAAGCCTTTTTGTGGATGATGATTCATGTTTTATTCTACCCTTCTGGAGACAATACGTGAAAGACTCAAGAAGTAGATGTAAAGGAGCCACCCCAGGCTCCCAGTACAGGCCCACTACAGAGTCAGACACATCCTAACAAAGCACCAGTGGAATTCATTTAAGCGGGTGAGAGGACATCTTATAAACACATGCTGTTGGATCAACCAGCAGACAAACTGCAATATGCATGCTGTGTGGATAACAAGGAGAGAAAAAAAATTTAGAAAACAGACAAATTCATAAATACAGTAACTGCACCCCTCACCCTCTCCTCCCCAAACGCGCGCACACACACACACACTGTGGAAGCCAAAAAACAGCATGCTTCTTATGAAGTCACGTCCAGCATGACCGTAAGCTCCAAGTGACCGCAAGTAATGAAGGAGATGGAGCGGAAGTACTGTCTACTGCAGCTTCCCAAAAACATGCACGGTTTCACACACACACACACACCATTATGGTCGTCAGAGGTCTGATGCTGGACTGGGCTGCACCTAGAGCATAGCTTAGTAGTAGTCTCTGTCTGCATGCTAACTTATCGAATAGAGCTGTGTGTGTGTGTGGGGGGGGTGAGAGTGTGAGAGAGAGAGAGTGTGTGTGCTAATGAGGGGTGGGCAGGGGGCCAGTGGCAGGCTGGAGGGAGACTTGGCTCCATCAGACCTGTTCTCTGGCTGTTTTCGCATGGCCAGAGACACACACTGACAGACAGAGACAGATACAGGCAGGCAGGCAGACACACACACACACACACACACACTCAGTGGAGGAAAATGGCAGAGTCCCTTGCCCTTGAACTGTCTCCTTAGATGAATCTGAAAATAGGAGAGATTGTATGAATGTAGAGGAAATCTTTTTACGTTGAACTGAGAAGGCCCTCAGAACATGGGGGGATTGAATTGGGGACATTTCACTTTTTGAGGTTCAGGAGAGCAACCCCTATAAGGAACGATGGGGGAAAAACAAGACGGAAGATGGAGAATCTGGGTTAGCCACACAAGAACCCCCGAGAGAGAAGCCTGGAATGGAGGGATGGATAGAGGGATGGAGACTACTAAGCTGTGATTAAGGAAGAGCTACTGGTATTTAAGAGTTAAGCTTTTGAGAGAGAGGGAGATAGCATGAGCAGGAGAGAGAGAAAAGGCTGGGGGCAGAAGACTCTTCTCTTAGCAGGGAGACTCGCGGAGGCTGAAAGACAACCTGGGAGATAAGGATGAGGAGGAGAGAGCATATGCTAACTGAGAGGATGAGAGATGCAATGGAAAGAGCAAACTGCAGCGAAACAGATAGCGAGGGAGAGAGAAATCGAAAGAAAGAGGAGGGGAGAGCAGGGAAGGATACGTTTGCGTGTCTGACTAAGCGGCAGGATCGAAGATGAGAGGAGGAGAGGCAAGGAGAAGAGAGGACATCCATCCCTCTCTCTGCCTCCAGGAGCACAGGACAAGACAAGGCTGAGGGTAGAGGACACTGGTAAACACTCACATAGACACACACTAGTGTGTAGCTTTTATGCGTGTGTCTGTGTGTCATGCAGCTGTGGGGTAGAGAGGAGCGGGGGACCTGCTATGTAGCAGGTGCTGGCCATTTCACGCCTGTCGGCCCCTCTTAGCCCTGTTTGTCTACACACATTCACATTAGCCTCCACAGGTCTGCGTCGCATCCCCATCTGGAGTCATTACACATCTTTCTCTCGGTCTGTTTCTACCATCATTCACTCTTTCATTTCACTTCAACCAATACTGACTCATCTCTTTCTTTCTTTCTTTCTTTCTTGCCATTTCTCTGCCATCTACAAACCTCCTTCATTATGACACTTGCTGGTTGCCTCAGTCACCTCTTAACTGCTGGCAAATTTAGCACACATCTTATCCTCCTCCTCTTCTGACAGTGAGTAAGAGAGGAGTGGGAAGGAGGGAGGAGGTGGTCGGCCGCAAGAGAGCAAGATGAGATGGAGGAGGGAGATGACAGGACAAGGAAACTGTGGGAAGTTCAACACTGGTAGAGACCAGAAAGAAAAAGGAGGAGGGAAAATAAGGAGAAAAGTGGGATGAAGAATAGGAGTGGAAATGTAGGATAAAAGACAGAGTGAGAAAGGGACGGATGGTGGAATGAGGAGAGAAGCAGCCAGAAGCTGAAGCAGCAAAGGGTGACTGATCCGCTCTGAGAGGCTTGGAGACAGACACATGCTATGCTGAGAGATAGTGGAGGCCAATAGCAGAGGAGATAGGATGCAGTGGCACAAGATTCCCATGGGAGTTTTAAATGCCGTCAGCATACGCTCTCTCCCTCCTTCCCTCATGCCTTTGCTCTCTCACAATCGTAGTGTGAGGATTGCATGCTGGCACTGAGTTATCCTGGTGCACGTTCCCTGGCTTTTTAGTCTAAAAGCAGCAGCCTCCATCTTTCTCCCTCTGCTCCCTGGATCTTTGTATCTTCATTGCTCGCTGCTTATAAGACACAGCAGGAGATGGTGACATCCTTAGTGCTACAGGAGCCAGTTACACTACTATGCAGTGGTGCAGAGTGGCCCCAGAGGAGTGGTGACGCATGCTGTGGCACCATAAGGAGCCAAGGGACTTGAAAGATGGGGGCTGAGAGAGAAATAAGGAGAGAATGAGCAAGAGGACATAAAAAGAGAAAGAAAACGAGGGCATGAAGTAGCTGGGTTGCTCTTAAAATGTAGCCACTAGAGAAATGCACTGTTTCCCCATTACGGGCCAGGTTTATCCCCATGTCAGCAGTAAATAACTTCAGGTAAAGTGCAGGCATGTGACAGAAGAGTGGAGGAGGATGTATTTTGCATGAGGTGAAATGCAGGAACGACGGCAGCTAAAACTATTGAGGAACATGAATGACATGGATGACTGGAAGTGTGGACTGTTTTCCATCCTAATTGGCACGTTCTGGATGGTGGATCTCCGAGACCTGAGACGGTACAACAAGCTATATAACACACAGAAAAATGCATGCACCTGAATATATACATATAACAAATATGAACCAGCAAACACACATATATACACAGACAGACACAGTGTATCAGCGCTCAGCTAAACCCAAGGAAACACACAATCCACTTCAATTCAAAGTCAACACTGTCACTGCGAGACAAATGTATCACTTTTAGTGATTGCCGCCTTATCTTCAAGACACTGACTCTAATGAACACTGCTCATTTGCTTTGCTTTAGTCTCCTGTCATTACTGATGGCCAAGGGTACCGCTGAGAAGCTACTCAGTCGCTTTTGTGATCATGAATTTAGAAGGGCAAACTGCTCTCTCATTTTAGGAAAATAGAAGAAAAAAAAAAAAAATCAGTGAGAAGGACCATATCGTCAAAGTGCACCACTCAATGTGAGCTACCGTTAAAAACCTTGTGAAACACCACTTTAAATTCCATGTGATGTACAAGGCGGGTAGACCGGCCTTGGGTATCGCTGAGGCATAGAAACTTTGATAATACAGTGTTATTGAGTGCATGCAAGGAGACATAGAAAAGTAGCGTGCATTCTTAATTTGACACAGAGAAAGAGAGAGATGAAAAGCTGAAGGGGAGAACGCAAAAGTGCATGCACATACACAGTCTAAACAGTCACATACATACACACCATGGACAGAGCAGCGGGACCCTCTAGCCCTACACTACACACCCAAGACAGTCCTCAGCAAAAAGGTACGTGTGTATGTGGTGTATGTGTGTGTTCATGTAACATGTGAGGTAAAATATGCATCCCTGGGGAAGACATGAGAGTACAGTACACCAGGAAATGTAGCATGTGTGACAAAAGTGCACTTGGTTCTAGTTCATCAGTTCACAGGATATAAATGTTTTCATATACGAGCCATGGAAGGTCTAGATGATGAACGAGACCCAAGTGAGCCACAAATGGGTTTTTCATTTCACTTCTGAAATGTTCACTGCTTTACTGACTCATTTGCTGTGTACAATTTATCAGTGTTTTAGGACATTTGTAACAAATTACACTTCGTCTTGGTTTTAACCTACTTAGAGCAGCAGATGGGTGGATTTGTAATGACAGGAACAATTCTAAAGTTAATTCATCATATCACAGAGAGGTGCATAAAAATATCACTTCTGTTACTTGTTTCTTGTGACAAACACCCAACATGTTGTACTCCAAGCAGGTTAAAGTATGCTTTTAAGTGTTATCTGCCCTACATCTTGAGAAATGCTTACGCACATGCTATGTATTTGTACTTTTTGTGTACATGTGTTGCAGTGTGTGCTTGTTTGTGTCCTTTAACTCACCTCTGACCATGGCTGTGACCTGGTCCCTGCCGGTCCCAATGCGGTTATTGACCTCACAGACAAAAGTGGTGTTGACGGCATCATCTACTTTCAGTATCTTCAGCTCGTTGCCTGTGATCTGCACCGTGTCTGGCATCTCTCCAGACATACTGCAGGGACATGAGCATATCAGCATGAGAAAGGGAGAAGGCCAAAAAAAAAAAAAAAAAAAGAATTGGATTGAATTGGAAAGAATTGGATTGTGGTTGGTTTGACTCTGGGCACAATGAGAGCACTGAGACAGATGTACATTTACAGAAATGTGCTGTATTGTGCAATGTCATCAAATTCCACTAATCTTGATCGGCAGTGCCTTTTGAGGAAAGAGGAAACTGATTGTAAAACTAATCAGTTTCCTCTTTCCTCAAAAGGCAATCCATTATCACATAGTGGAGGAAAATAAAATGGAGACAGGAGGAAAATCAAAACTGCTGGATCCGGGCCCAAAATCTCATCTCTCCCAGTTTAAAGTTCCAGACTTTTCTAATTTTGTCACAGTTGTATTAATAGATAATACAGAAAAAATGAGAGAGAGAGTTATATTGTGTTTCTCATTATGTGAGGGTTAAATCGCAAGTCCATGATGAGAATTATTACACGGCTATCTCCATAATCAGTGCACAGGGCTGTAGTGGCAATAATAAAAGCACTGATTACAGCTCTGTGGGGCTGGGAAAGAAGGGCAAGGAAGGGAAAATGAGAGAGAAAGAGAAAGCACAAGATGTTGGGAAAGAGAGACCGAGCAAGAGACTACGACACAAAAGAGATGCTGAATGTGCTGATACTTACGTCTTCCATTGGGCAGAGATCGGAATGGGGTTTCCGGTAGCCTGGCAGGTGAGCACTACATTTGTACGACCCAAGTACCAATTATTGTCATAACCCACTATTGTCACCTGAGGGGCGTCTGGGGGAAGGACAGATGGATGTCAGAAGGGAAGAGAAAAAATAGCAATGACTTCACATAATCACTCCAATGTTTGAAAGGTTGCAATCATGTTAGAGTGTGAACAGCAAAGAAATTCAGGGAATAATAAGTGATAGGTGTCTTACATTGAATGGCTAGCTTCAGTGGGAAGCTCTCTGCTTTGTCCTGTGTCCTGTGCACCACCACACAGCTGATGTCTTTCCCGTTGTCTGCTGCTGTGGGAACCATAAGGTACTCGCTGCTCACTGTCACAGTGTTGTTGGCACCCGGTTTAGACACTGTTGTCGCATTGCCATTGGCTGTGGTCACCCAGGAGATCTGGGCAGCGGGGCGGCCATCCATAGAATCGCAGCGTGCCACAACAACCGGATTAGTGCCTGCTTCCACTGTTACGATGGAGGCTGAGTTCTGAGGCTTAGCTGATGGACGGATGGACGAAGTGATGCGAGGATGGAGAGAGGAAGAGACACAGAGTGGGCAGAGATAAGATTAAAGGATGTAGAAATAGATAAAATGGAAATAAGACAGCTGAGGGATAAAATAATGTGAACCATTATTGATAAACAATTTGAGTAACCAGCCTGACAAAATTCAAAACCTCCATCTCCAAATATCATCTGTCCCCCCGCTCACCCTCTCTCCTCTGTCTTTTTTCTCTCCAGGGCCTACATTGATAAACAATTACAAGCACCAGCGCAAACACATCCAAACCCTAAATCTTCTTTCACTTTCCCTCCATTTCTTTAATGCATTCCCTCTCTATCCCCATCACCAGCAACTGATTAACTATTTCCCTGACTGGTCTACTGCACTTCCATACACAAATTCTAAATCACTACATGAACTCTGTCGTCCCCCACCCTCTCGACTCTACCTCACTCCTCAATTGCCTTCTCTGATACTGGTATGGGATCAGGAGAGCGAGGAGGACAGGAGCTGACAGCAGGCATGACAAGCAGCCAGATCAATAGAGTGCCCGAGGGGAGGCAGGGAGGTATGATGCATTCAAGAGTGAAGTGAGCGTAGCAAAGGCACTGGGCCAAGGTTAGACCAATGGTTCCATTGCATTAACAAGAACACAATTGATCTTACAATACCACTTTTAATAGCAATTAAGGCTAGCTGGACATGCTTTTAACCTGCGTGCTACCTTTGAGTGAGGGAGAAAGAGAGGTAGGCGGAGAGTACTTTGCATTTATATATATAGTAAGCAAGGTAGAGTTGACAGATAGATAACAAATTTAAGGAAAAAAAACAACAAATAAATGCTTCAATGCCCTTGGCACAGATTCAACAAGTCCCTAGAAACTCTACTGGAGTGACAAACACCATGGAACACCGAAAAAGAGTTTTGATAAAGACAGTTGGCCAATTCTCTAAAATAAAATCCTGTCCTACTCATTTCGTTCATGGCATGAAAGTATAGGGAAAACCTCTTCAACAAACTACAGATCTTTCAGAACAGGGCTGTATTGGGTTTGATTCCTCTGTACCTAACAGAGATCCAATTTGGGCTTAAATAATGGTAATTTTCTTAATATACAAATTTTACAGGTAGCATTTAACACTGTTGCAAGTCCTTCAGAGGCAAACCTACAACCCAGTGTGGTGCATAATATTTATATCAACAGGCTAAAGACTTTTAAAGCTGGGGGAGGCAATGTTGGAGAAACTAGCAAGAGACAGCTAGACTTTGTATATAACCGAAAAAATCCAACCCCCTAAACTGCAGGCCTTTCTTTTCAGGCGCAATGGGTGCATGGGGCAGAGTGCGTGCAGGCAGGCAGACATAATGTCAACAAAAATGTAATTTTCTGTTTTGGATGTTTACCGTGGAGTGATTTTAGTATTGTAGCCTAGTTACCTGGACATCTGCATCTTTGAAATTGTTCCATCACGGACCACTATGGAAATACAGTAGGTTCTGGACTTTATAGTAGCCCCCTCGAAATCTTTGTAGTTCTGTGTGATTTAATATTCTCTATCACATAAAGTAAAATAAACTAAACATTCTTCCAAAAGATATTCTTTTTCCATAATAATGGTTCATTGCACTGTGTAACATGCAGGCACTGTTCTGGACTCAAGCTTTTATATTTATTAGCTTTCTGGGTATCTCTACCTGCTTCCAACAATAGTTTTAAAGTAAAACTGAAAGCTTGAGACTGAAACATAGCCTTTGTCCTTTGTCGGAGTAATATTACTCTTATGTGTGTTAAATATCAGTGGATCTCCTGGTTGCTGCCTTAAATGTCAGTCCAAAATATCCAATAGGTGTTCATTTAGGCTGAGCCTATAAAGGCCGTATTCACATTTTACATCAAACCATTTCATGTCCCCTCATGCACAGTGTGAAAGCATCTGAATTTGCTGTTTCTAAACTCATTTGCTCAGTATGACCTATAATTTGTCACCTATCTGTATATAGACATTATACATAGTATACATATACAGAGTGACCTACCCAGCATGACCAGATATGTTATGCCTTGCTCGTTGCCACTGGGGTAGGTAGCATACTCGCAGATGTACTTTCCCTCATCGGTCATCCTAACTCCGCTTATCTGGATTGAGGGACTGGCCAGGTTTGGGGGACTGGGTGTAAAGGTGACTCTGCCCTTCACTGGTGAGTCGGGGTAGTTGGGATCAAAGTTGGGGTGAAACACAGCGATGTTGATCCTTTCTCCATCCTTCGGCTCGTAGATCCACGTGACCTGTGGCCGAGGATATACAGGGTCAGTGGTTAGGATGCGCACAGTGACTGAGAAAAACAACAGGCCTCATTTATCATGGCATTGATAAGCGACACGGGAGCATTTTAAGACATTCACATTTTGCTGTAAACTCCATGGGGCAATGTACACAGCATCACAATCAAATAAGTGGAGCAGGTATGAATATGGATGTGAGTTTTTCAGGAGCTGCACTCTCTCTCAGCTGCTCCTAGCGGAACCAAGCAGGGTTGTGCACTTCCCACTTCATTGAGATGCAACTAAGAAGTGTGCACATTACCATATTCAATCCCCTAAAGCAAAATGAAGCTTAGTATTGTTTGTTTGGAGTAATAAAACATTAAGCCTAAATGTAATAAAAAAAACTGTTACTAGCCTTAGGATCATTCCTGGGAGCTATGATTTGTTAGACTAAGGTTTAATGTGCTAGGTAAAGACAGCACATGGACCTGTACCATCATTTTATATTTATTTTAATTGTGATGAATTGTTGTTGTCCATCTGTGCGACCTTGTTTCACACACCTGCAAGATCTGGTTGATGCATAACTGACAAATACTTTTACAGGAAGAAAATACTCACATATTTAATCAAATATTAAATTGTGTATTTGCTTAATTTCCAATGTCTATTCGCTTCATTTGAGAAAGCAAATCGTAGTCACAAGCAATATCAACAATTTTTACTGTGTCTAGTCAGCACAATGAGCTACAATTTCAGGATGAAACTGACATTTTTATTAGAATTTCATACCACAAACCAAGTTTGGTGTGTGGTGGTATAAAGAACAAATTAAATTCTAACTGAAAAAAGAAAACACTTGTATCCAGACAGTGTGCAATCTGACCATTGTGAGCTGAATCCCAGTGGCATCAGTAAATGCACAGCGTAGGTTGACTGTCTGGCCAGGATATGACGACACTTCTGGCTCTACCTTCACCCGCTGACCTGACACTCCTAAGAAAAACAAAGAGAGAGATTAATGTCTGTTTCCTTCCATTCCAAGTTAGGAGAGGGGACAAGGTAAGGGAGTTGAGGAATCGTGTTGGTACAGAGCCTCCTGATGATAAATGAGGACAGTGTGGAAGTGTCTGGTACAACAGAGGACAGCATTAGTGAACCCAGGCAAGTAGGCCAAGAGTCTGGTATCTCTCCATGACTGCGTGTGTGTGGATTGAGTGGCCGGAAAAAAAGGGGATGTGTGCTGGAACAAAAAAGAAAACGAAAGCCCGTTCTCTTTTGCACATGGTCATAAATCATCTGTATGGGTTATGCTTTTCTATAACCTGCCATTTGCTGTGCCGACGACACATTCCTGTGTAACAGCAAAGAGTCAAAATAAATATGCTTTTCTTGGTGTGTTGTGTCAGTGGGCGTGTGAGAATCAGAAAGAAAGAAGGAGCTTTAGAACGACAATCTGTGTGTGTGTGTGTGTGTGTGTGTGTGTGTGTGTGTGTGTGTGTGTGTGTGTGTGTGTGTGTGTGTGTGTGTAATCCAGGTCTCTGTGAAAATGTAATTACTTGTATGAGTAAGCGCGCATTAGTGTATGTCAGCAAGATGGCACCTGTTTTAAGTAAGAGTGGATTACCTGCGGATACACAACTTCAAATGTCTGCAGCCAGGGCTGTGTGCGAATGTGCGTGTGCTCACAATGAGTTTACCAGAAAGCTACACACATACAACAGCACCAGTGAAACACAGCTTACCCTAAAGTCAAACTATTACTTGAAGAACTAGTTCCACCAGTTTATGCTGAGCCAAAAGGTGTTGTGTTGAAACTATTATGATCAGAAGGGTTGATGGAACCCCCCCACCCCATTGGATAGTAGGAGATAAGAGGAAAGGGCAGTGCTGTCTATCTCTTTTGATGAGCAATAAACACCGTTCCTTCTCTTCTCTAGGGAGATCTGAGATATCAATAGAGGATGAGAAGAGGGTGCAAGAAGCGAAAGTCTGAGTGGGAAAGTGGAGGAAAACAAGCCTTTCCTAGAATAACACCAGCTCTCCCAGGACCAGCCCAATTTACAACCACAAAACAACCCCCTTGTAGCCACAGAGGAACCTCTGGACAACCACTAAGCAGCATGTGGGAGCAGAAGCAGAGAGACTTATTTTGCTGGAAAGAGGAACAGCTTACTCCTCCCCCGGGCACACATACACGAGCATATCTGTACAAGTAGACACACAAAAGCATGTGCACACACACTCATACACGTGTACATCTTATGACATCTTTACTTCAAGCTCCTACCCAGTGATCTTTCAAATGTCTGCAGCATTTAGTGAAGATCAAGCTGCAACCTTTTGTCAATCCACCTGAACTAGTCTGACTAACAACAGATTAGTTTTGGGAATGGGAGCTGTACTCTGGTTACCAAAGGATGTAGCAGAGCATGGGGAAAGGGGATGAAGGGTTATGGAAAGCCTTGATTACTAGTCTTGATTGGGGTATGTGGAACAGGTCAGCTTGACATGTCAGAAGTCATTACACAATCTGGCACTGAAGATAAATTAATCCAACTCAGATTTCATTTGTGTGTACATGTGCAAATTCACACACAAACACATGCAGAGCCATTGTGTCCACATATAATATGGGGGCAGAGCAAAGCTGGGCCTGTTGTCTGTCATTCGGAGGCAATAAGAGGAGAGCCAACACAGGTCAACTCCTGCCAGAGCTCAGGTGAGAGACTGGCTGGCCTTATGAGACTCTATATAGCCCCAGGGAAATGAATATTACACACAAGACATACAAAGACTTGCACGCCCTCATCCTCCATGATAGTCCCCAAACCCCAGTCCTGAAGACTCAGAGACTCGGTGTCATTAGAACAGCAGACACAGAGTGGAAAAAGTCAACGTGTGCATGCGTGTGCATGTACAAGACACATCAGACTTTTGGAAATGCTTAGGGGAGGCTGCATTTGAAATAGTAATTGTCAGTATAAATATTTAGAAAGCAGTGGTCATATTAAACAGGAGAGAGAGACAGGAGGCGGAGGGAGACAGGAACTGAGGGAATTAGAGAATAAAAGACGGTTCAAGGGTAAGACTGAGGAAAAAAGGAGGAGAGACAGAGGGAAAGAAAAAGAGGGTTGGAGGGGAGGAGAGTGAGAACAGAAGCCTTGTGTCACCGCTGCTCTACTTTACAGTAGCTCTGCTGCCTGCAGGTAACATACAAGAAATGCCACCAAACCAAATGCACATGAACAAACAAATGCATGCACACACAAACTACCCTCTTTGACATCCTCAAGTACTGTCACCTATCATTATGTCTTTAACACCCACATGATGTGCATGCGCACCCACACATTGTGCTGATGGGGCTGCGACAGCCCTGCCATATTAACACAGTCTTCTCTGATCTCCTGCCTGGTCACACTGACATTTCCATATTTCCCACCATTCGTCTGTGAAGAGGAAAATGAATCAGGAAGGAAGGAGGAGAGGAAGCATGCTAGGAGGATGGAAGGATGAAAGGAAGAGACAAGAGACAGCCTGGGAATGCCAAAGTGATGAAGGATGAGAGCAGAGGAGAGGGGAGGGGGTGTAAGGAAAGTGGGGATGAAAGTGTGTGAAGAGAAAGCAGTGCCAGGAATAGAGAATGAAAGAGGGAGTGAAAAGAGAAAGTGGTGAGAGAAGAGGAGGATCTCGAAGGGGAGACGGTGTGAGGTTAATAGAAGACAGCTGAGGGACAAAACAGAGACATTTAGAAGAGAGAAATAAGGGGAGTGAGAGAAGAAGCATGTGAAAAAGAGAGATGCGATGGGAGAAACTAAAAATGGAGAGGGTTGGGGATGGGTGGTAGGTAGAGCGAAACAGAGCGAGGAGAGAAGAGCGGGAGGTATGAAGCAGTGAGAGGCAGAGTCCACACCTGACCTTGTGAGAAACTCTAGGAGTCAGTCAGTCAGTCAGTCAGTCAGTCAGTCAGTGTGAGAGAGAGAGAGGCAGAGAGACAGAGAGAGAGACTAAAAAAAACGCAAAAATCGTAATTTTCTCTGCAGCCCATCTGAGCCAGTCGTGGCTTATAAAACGAACATGCGCTTATCAGCTTGTGTCCGCCTGCCTCACTGCCTAGCTGGCTGACTCCAACGGCTAATGACATTCATGTCCTCTGCTTGATCCCCGCTATAGTGGAGAATAGCACAACGTCAGGGGGACAGGGAGTGCGGGCCATCACCTAAAATATCTAATGGCCTTCAGAGCTCACTGACTCTCTGCCATTTAATCAAGCTAGTGGCTATGCACCATCAGGTGGGCTAGAATGAAGCTTTCCCATTCTCCGTGTTCTTGAAGATTGCTTCCTAGCACTTTATTGTGTGTGTGTCTGCTGTAGCTGGGTGCCACAGTGTATATTAAATTGTTTCTGGGCGTCATGTAAAGTAGCTTCAAGAAGCCGACAGTATGCGATGGAAGAATGTTGATGATAACTTTTATGAACAAGGCAAAACAATGCAAATTGAGACTCATTCCAACAAAAAAGCCACACCAAGGAGACCAAGGATGACAAGACTATCGGTCAACATTGCTCCTGCACTGCACGTGTCCCATTTTCCCCTTCTAGTGATCAATAAAGCACTCTATCCATGTGCATTGTGTATCTCCAAATAAATAACACCAAAAGTTATTTCGGGAGTGGCACATGCAATCATGCTCTGTGGCATGTATAAAAATCCTGAGCAGGCCCAGTTGATTCTGATTTTGTATCAAGATAAGAGGAAAAGATCTAAGTGACTTTGAAAGAGGGTTCAATGTTGGGGCACGTACAGCAGGAGATTCAGTCACAAAGACTGCTGAACTGGCTAGTGTTTCGATAGGAATAGGAACAGTGACTAAAGTGACATCTTGCATTCTATAAGAAAGTTATCAGTAAGTAGGATTGGAAATTGTGCACATTTGATGACCGCGATGCTTGTGCCCAGAGGGGTCACTGAATGGTTTGATGATTCTGAAAATGATGTCAATCATATGCTGTGGCCTTCGCAGTAATCAGATCCTAATCCAACTGAACACCTATGGGAGATTTTGGAATCATCAAAACACCAAATGAGGGAATATATTTGGGAAGAACGGCATTCCAGTAATCCAATATTGTTCCAGAGACTTGAAGCATGAATGTTGTTCTTGCTGCATGTTGTGGCCCAACACCTTACCAAACACTTTGTTGTTTTTTCCCTTTAATTTTGCGACCCGTTGATTTGCTTCACCGTATGTATGTGCATCTGAATGTGAAAGAGAAAAGAAAATGTGGGTGTGTTTTCCTTGGGCCTTTCTAGTGCACTGCTGTCTCAAGCATGCTGGGCTTTCATTATTCTTGCAGGTCTGTGTGAATTTCTCCATTTCCATTATTCTCTTGTTGTTGCTATTGTTGTGCCAACCCTCTCCACTCCTGAAGAATAATAGCTTTGAAACAGGCTGTATGGAACGCAGGGTGTGGCGTCACAATTCTGTCCTGATGGAATCTGCCACTGACTTTTCTTTCTCCAACATAATCTTTTTATTACAGTGGAATTAGAATGTCTCCCAGCCCAACTTTCAAACTTGATGACTTGACATGCGAGGATGGCACTTGTGATGTAGTGCAATGAGATTCTTTTTTTGATAATCCAAGACCCATTTTGGTCAGACTTCACAATACAAAAAATGTCTGTGTGGTTTATAATCACCTCTGCAACTGGCTTAATGATGCTTGCCTATGACCAAAATAATATCAACAACTAATCACAAGTTAGGTTTATTCATTTAGCTGGCGCTTTTATCCAAAGTGACTTAAAATTGCCATTTATGTCAGAGGTCGCACGCCTCTGGAGAAACTAGGGGTTAAGTGTCTTGCTCAGGGACACAATGGTGGATGGTTACAGTGGGGAGTTGAACCCTGGTCTCTCACACCAAAGGCATCTGTCTTATCCACTGCGCTGCCACCACCACAGGTTCACCACATTTACAAACAGCTC